CCTTGCAGGGAGACAAAGAGCAATAACTTCTTGTCTTTTAGTCTGCAGGGGTAAATTGCATTCTCTTCACGAATTTCACAGTGTATGATACAGAGTATGAATGCAAAAGTCTGGGAACTTTCTTCAAAATTAAATCACATGTCTGTTTATTTTTTTGAATAGCAGCATTGACTGCTTCCTTTCCTCTTCACATGAATGCACAAATAGTTGGTGCGGGGGACTTCTTCCAAACTGGGAACTGAGTTGTGTGTCAATTTTTTTGCCTGCTTATAGAGATATCAATCTATGTTGTTGCTCTCTGCTGTCAACTAGAGATCCTCAGACTGTGGTTTGAGTAACATTACTGATGGGAGAATCATTTTAAATGGTGCCGAAGAAGAAAAATACAAATTATGAGAATTATAAGTGAGGATACTACAAATAAGGGAATTTCAAAGAGGAATCAAGACAGGGAAAAGTATTGGCTCTGCCCAATGTGCTTGCTGCACATTAAATTGTGCACCTCATGGTATCTTGAAAATCATTGCTGAAATCACAGGAAATGTTGGTTCAGAATGAGGAAGAGCTGTGTCTTCTGATAAACCTTTCTTGAGAGCTGCACAACCAAAGTCCTTCAGTCTCCTGAACCTTTGTGCTGCTCTCTCAGTCTTGCTGAGAATCCAATCTGAAAAGGAGAATTTGCCTAATAAGCTGAACACATTTCAATGGCTTAAGCAGAATCAGACCCATCACTTGAAAAATAACTGAACAATGCTGACCAGAGCAAAGATGTCTGCATGGCACTGGGGAGCCCAGATGCAGTCACTGATGGCTTTCGAGGGTGTTAGGTTAGTTTGGGTGAGGAACAAGACAAAAGTGTCATATAAGCACTGAGACTGCCTTTAGTGCTGAAGATGTTGATTTGCAACTCTGGGAAGGACTCAGCAAGGCACGAAAATTTCATTCCATTTGAAAAATGGGAAAATAGTAAATAACATAAATGTGGGCCAATGGGATATTGCCTTCAAAGGGGCAAACTGACTCGCAGTTGTGGTGGGGTGACTGGTTGGATGCCAGGTGTCCACCAAAACAGCTCCATCACTGCCCTCCTCAGCTGGTCAGGGAAGAGAAAATACCCTGAAAGGCTTGTGGGTTGTCTTCTCTCTCCTCTCTCTGGCTGTAATTGCTGTTGTGCTGTTTTTCCTCCCCTTCTTAAATTCTTTATTCCAGAGGCACTGCCACCATCACTGATGGGCTTGGCCTTGGCCAGTGGCAGGTCCATGTTGGAGCTGCTGGCATTGGCTCCACTGGATGTGGGGGAAGCTTCTGGCAGCTTCTCACAGATTCCAACCCTGTCCTGTAGCCCTCTGCTGCCAAAACTTGGCCACAAACCCAGTGCCATAGTTGTCAGTATAGACACAGTTGTTTTATTCTGGTTGTGATTTGCATTAAATTGTTCTTGAAAGTAAGGCTGGTTTCAAGCAATAGAAAACCAAGCTTTGTGTTCCCAGTGATCCCTGTATGGGAATACAAGACTATCCCTGATGAAACCTGACTTTACCTCCTAAAGTGTTTGAGACTCGCTTGTAGGCCCTTAGTGGAGTGACAATACTACAGAAATACTACCTAGTAAGACTCTTAGTAGGGTTATGCCCATAATGCAAACACTAGATTGAAGTTCATGTTCTGCCACTGATTTGATGCTTGACAAATGACCCTTTTGTGTCTTGTTATTCACTTTGCTAAATTGGATAATCATTCTTGCTCACCTCCCTAAAGCAGTTTGACATCCATAACTGCAAAACTATCAACAGAGCCATGCAGAACTCCAGCTATATAGAGTAACTTTACAGAAATCTAAACCCTGCAGCAGCACAACAGTCACTTCATCTATAATTTCACCTAATATGTATTTTGCGGTTAATCTAATTTTCTTTATGGCAATTTAACTTCAATATTGGCATAATAGTATTCATTTTTAAGCATCATGTTTGTTTTGGGGCATGCTTATGTATTAGTATCCTGCTTAGGCACAGTGGAAGTATTGTTCTTTCACCCTGAAAGATAAACTCTAATAAGATATTATAGACATGAATGCCTTCTATTATGAATGGAAGAGCACTTTGTATTTCTCAGCAAAGGTCCCAGTTAGCCCAGGTGCAATGAGAACCTGAACACCAGATAAATGCGTTGCACAGAGGAAGGATGAAAGAGAAAGAAAAGATTCAGTGTCTGCTGAAAAGCAAACCAGCTTCCTCTCTCCCTGGGAGCTGCACACCCTGGCCCTGCTGAAGCTGTGGTATCTCAAGTGAAGCAGCATTGCCAAGGACAGGTATTTGCATATGAGATCTTTGCTCTTTAGAACCAGTGCTATAATTACAACAGAGCCGCACATTTCTAACAGCAGAAGAGAATATCTCATTTTTACACCTGGAAAAATAGAAGCAAAGTCATTGCAAAGAGATGAGTCCTGCTGTTTACTCCCTTCATCAAATCATGGAGTGATTTCTCACTTGTGAAACCACAGTTCCTCAGCAACACCTCCTAACCCACAGGGGCTGAGGCTATAAATGTAGCTTAGCAGTGGGTTTATTCTAAGTTGTTTTTAATTGTTTGTTTGTTGGTTGCTTTTTTTTTTTGCCCAAAGGACTGTTAGCAAGCCTACTCCTCTGTCGAGCCATCCCAGCCATCTGCCAATGTGGGCTCAAAAGAACATTCTTCAGGGCCTTATCCAATTTATTGTATCTGATTCATTAAAGCAATAACTCTTGATATTAAGTCACTGCTTTGAGTTTGGCAGCTGCATAATGACCTGGGACTTAAATTTCTAAACCAAGCTAAAGTTCTTGTGTTTATTTTATTAAATCTCACATTGCCTGAAATGAGCAGGGGTCCTGGCAGCCCAGTGCGAGCAGTCCCTGGTGCATCAGTCCCTGAGCAGCTTCAGTAGTTGTGACAGAGAAAAGCATGCATGGAAAAACCTCTTTTCTGGCTTATCTGGTCTGTTGGAGTTAGTGATGCTCTGCTGGCACAACAGGAGTGGTGTGATTTTAGCTTGGAGTGATAAGATGGCATCAGAATTATTAAGGCATCAGTTACCAACAGCATCCTCAAATGTCCCGGGCCTTTGAGTTGTGCCGTGCCTTTGTTTATTGAGGTCAAAGCTCTGGGGAAATGCCATGAATCAAATTTCCTATGGCATTTCTGAAACGAGGGGTTCCTGTCACCCACATGTGGAAAAATAGAAGCAAGTAAGGAGACAGGACGGAGCTGAGGAAGGTTTCTGGCTCTCTGGATTGTGAAGGGGAACCTCCTGAGAGTCAGTGCTGATACACAATCTCTTCAACATGGAAACAGAGCCCCATTCCTGAAATCCATCTTCCTGCAGCACCAAACCTCCAAACTGAAGAAAACAACAAAGGCCAAACAGGATCATTTGATGAGCCCTGAGTGGGGACCCTCCAGGGTCTTTGAACCCCAGAAGGGACCAACCCCATCGCTCACAGGGCTGAGCAGGCACAAGACATCTCTGATCCCCGACACCACCCAAACTCCTCTGTGCTGAGACCTCCTTGCCACCCTCCCACCCAGCCCTCCCTCCTCAGCTCTCCCTGGGACTGTCATCTGTGTGGGTACAATGGTGTGTGGCAGAGGCTCTTCCCACCTCTGTGTCCTGAGATTATCTGCTCTTAGTATCCTAACCATGCCAGGAGCCGATCTGGAAGATGAGGTGGCACTAAAATATTTCTGCTGCCAATAACTGAAGCCCAGTTGGCTTCAAATGTTCCATTTTACTGCAACTTTCTTCGCAATGTTTATGAGCTTTAGACTATTTATAAAGGCAGATAAAGTTCAAAGGAGGCCTTTTAGAGCTGTCGGTTCTCGTGCTGGGAACTTAATTGGAAAAGTGCAAAGTCCTGGGACGCAAAGCCCATTGCTTTTGTACCTGGCGTAGAAAGTTACCATAAATGTCTCACACTGTCATCAGTTGATCTCTGCTGTTGGCATTCAAACCTGTCACACCCTCCTCTGCCCGAGTTACTCCACTCCCCTCTGACTGAAACCCTGGCAAGGCTGATTCCTGAGTCTGCAGCTGCATGGGAATGTTGTTTGCAGCTGGACACCTGCTGCCTGTGAGACCCTGTGCCAGATGTTCCCAAGGGGAGATGAAGAGCCCTTTATGCCGGTCCCTTCCAGTACCTGAAGGGAGCCTACAGGAAAGATGGGAGAGGGAGTTTTTACAAGAGCAATGTAGTGACAAGACCAGGGATCCCTCTGTAAAGGGAAATGAGGCGATCTCTGTGTGTGTTTCCCTCCCTTGTGGTCTGTTTGGGACCCGCTGTCCATCCTAGTGCTGGAAAGTCAATGCTCTCCCACGCCTTGAGCATCAAACTAAAAGAGAGTAGGTTTAAATTGGATATTAGGAGGAAGTTCTTTGCTGTGAGGGTGGTAAGGCGCTGGAAGAGGTTGCCCAGAGGAGTTATGGATGCCCCATCCTTAGAAGTGTTTAAGGCCGGGCTGGATGGAGTTCTGAGTAATCCGGTCTAGTGGGAGGGTGAACCCATGGCAGGGGGTGGAACGAGATGGTCTTAAAGTCCCTTCCAACCCAAACCATTCTATCAATCTACGATTGTAGGGGACACCCGCAGCGCTGCGCGGAGGGAGAATCCCGGCCCGCCGCTGCCGGGGGTCTGCGGGGCAGCGTGACGTCACGCGCGGCACCTCTGCCGTCAGAGCCGCGTGACGTCACTGCGGGGGCGGGGCGGGCAGGGAGGGGGCGGCAGGTGGCGCCCGGCCGGGATGGGATGGGATGGGATGGGATGGGACGGGACGGGAATGGGGCGGGCCGCGCTCGCCGCGCTCCCGGCTGACAGCGGCGGCCCCGGCGCGGCCCTGCCCTCCCGGGCGGCGCGGCGGGAGTTGTAGTGCGCGGCGGGCGGAGGCGGCCGGGCCGGCCCCGGGGCGGACTACAAGTCCCAGGCGGGGCGGGCGGCGGCGCTGTGTGTGAGCGGGGCCGAGCCGAGCGGGGCGGGCGGCGCGGCGGGGCTCGCTCGGCGCCGCGGCCGTAACCTCCCGTCTCTCCCTCTCGCAGCGGCGGCGGCGGCGACGATGCAGGCGGAGTCGGGGATCGTGCCGGACTTCGAGGTGGGCGAGGAGTTCCACGAGGAGCCCAAGACGTACTACGAGCTGAAGAGCCAGCCCCTCAAGAGCAGGTGGGGCGGCGGGGCCGGAGCGGGGCGGCGGGTGCCCGCCGAGCATCCCCGCGGGCGCTGCTGCGCAGCGGGGCGGCCGGGAGCGCTCCTGCCATAATAGCGGCGTTGTTGGCGGAGGGCGGGCCGGGCCCGCGTTATGTAAAGGGCATTGTTGGCCGTGCGGGCCCGGCTGTCCCCGGGGCAGCCCCCGCCGGCCGCACCTGCCCCCGGTGAGCGCCGCGGCCGAGACCCCCCGGGCGGGGCCAGCGCGGAGCCGCGAGGGGGTTGCGAGGGCTTGTGGCATCTGAGGTCGTTCTTGGTGGGCTTTTTTCTTATTTTTTTTTTTCTCCCCCTCCCCTCCTTTTTTTTTTTTTTTTTTTTTTCCTCCCCCGACTTTGAGAGTAGGTTTGTTACTCGCAATTGTTTGGGGATTGGAAACTTTTGGTAGGTAGGTCACTTTCTTCCTAGAGTGTTTTTCTTTTTTCGCCGAGATAGACCCTGTTTGCTTATCTGGAGCGGCTGCGTCGCGTAGATATGGTCTGTAAAGGGAAATGAGGCGGTTTCTGTGTGTGTTTCTCTCCCTTGTGGGCTGTTAGGGACCCGCTGTCCGTCCTAGTGCTGGAAAAAGAAAGTCAGTGCTCTCCCGCGCCCTGAACATCAACCTTGTCAGCGATGGCACGTTTCTCCCTCCTCTTTTTTCATTCAGCGAACCCTCCATTTCACCTCAGTGCTCTCCTCTGCTGAATATAAGGTCATTGCTGCAAGTGTATTGTGTTTGTAATCACGTCTGTTGTTAGCCTGTTTCTATATTCATATTTTGAACACTGCTCTTTGTACCTCTGTGTGCAGTTGAAAAATGAATAAGAAAGTAAATACTGAAAAAAAAAATTGTGCTAGAATGACTTTAGGTTGTACCGTTTGTCAGACTCACTTCAAAGTAAATACATGAATTTTTGATGATCCTCTGAATGTTTCAGAAACACTGAAAGTCTTGTAGTAAAAGATGTTAAAAATTCTCTCGCTGTCACAAGGGCTGGGAAATCTGGGACCACCTCCTGTGGCCTGTCTTCACAGCAACCCTGCCTCACACTGAACCTATGGTACTGCTGAGGAATGTTGCAGGTAGTGGTGATATACAGACTAAGGGGCCATCGAACCAAACCAAAGTTGCCAGAACTCCTTTGCTCTGTAAGGTTATGCAGGGAAGTTGCCATTATCAAGGTAATTAGCTGGGGGCCAGGCTAATGTGCAGAGAAGGGTTCATCAACAGTGGTGGGTTCCAGCTGTGATGGAGGCAGCTGGGAGACCCACAGGGCTTCGGGTTCAGTGCCTGTGTTGCCAGTGGAGTGCAGCAGTCACGACAACTGTGCTGTGGTCCAGGAGCCCTGTTTGCACCAGCTGCGGGTTCTAACTGGTGTGCAGGAGTTCTCCCTTTATGGTTGTCCACTTTGTAGTCAGCAGTTTGTGCTTTCCTGGTGTGAGCAGTGGAGCATAGAAAGCAAGTCTGCATTGGAGCTTAGATGGCAGGTCTGCATTTGACCTTGCACAGATGTTGCAACTGCTTTTAATTCCTGTGACTTGGTGCTCTGGGACCCGAATGTATCAGTGCGTTGTTCTCTTCTCTCAGGGGGATGTCAATAAACTCTGTAATGAAACACTGGAGTATTTGGCTGTCTTGTAAATGTTGTCACTTCAAATTTCCCTATACTGAATTTCCCTGGTACATCCTTATTTGATTCTCCTGCAGAGCCAGCACTGCCCACCCTTTGGGTTTAAAGGGACCCCTGTGTCTGTCACCCTAACAGCCTGCTGGTGCCTCAGGCCAGCATCTGTCCTGATGTTGGGTAGGAGAAGTGACCAGCTTGCCCCCCTCTGCCTCGTGTCCCTCCACACGTACCCACTTCTATGAGAAGAGGGAGCCCTGAGGGTGGAATAACAATCCATGGTTTTTCTGGCAGACAGTGAACTGACATGTTAACCTCAGCATGGAGCCTGCCCAGCTCACGTACAGCTCTTACCTCGAGGTAGAGTCTCAGTTGTCTTCCTGGTCTTGTGGGAGATGAAGATGCAAAGGAGTCAAGGGCTCTGCTGGGTCCGTATAAACCTGTCCCTGCAGCCAGGCTGATAAAGCTTGATGATAACAGGAGGCAGAAGTTGCTCACAAACCTGTTTGCTTCATGATTGTATCTCAGAGGACTTCTGTAGTCCTTCAGCTTTGCTGAGGCCTGAAACCAGTCTGACTGATGATTATCGAGGGTATCCAGCATCACCCTGCTGCTTTCCCTTGTGGATGTAAATCAGGAGTAATTGCAGAGCAGTGAGTGGAACAGCAGCAGGTCAGCGTGGTGTAGTTGTGGGACTGTGGCCGTGGGAATTGCTTTCTTACCCTCTCCACAGCCTGGCTCTGGAAAGGTGGCTGGGGAGCAAGTAAGCCAGAGGCAAGAGCTGATGTTAGGAGCTGAGTCTAAACAGCAATCTGCTCTTTTCCCTGGTGAGAACTGCTGATTTCCTAGCAACATTCAGGGCTTTCTCTGATCTTGTAACTATAAGAGGTGAGAAGCACCCTTGGCTTACCATAGCAGCCCAAATTGTGAATACAGAGAAAATCCATCCCACTTAAAAACAGGTAAGAATGTCAGTGCTTTGAACCAAGAAAAAACATTTTTGTTGCCCAGTTTAACTCAGCCTTGCTGATATTGTTGTCCTTCACTCAGTGAAACTCTCCTATTCGCTTCCTCCCAGATTGCTTGTTTTCCAATACATGACATCCAGTTCAATGTTTCTCCTCTCCAGTGTGCCCTCACAGTTACTCCATCCCTATTTCATAATTCAAGTCTGCAATCCAAAGCCGCAAGGGGTCCAATAATAAAAGGTTTTTGCAGTAAATACTGTACTAACTCGGGCCAAGCCACAATTGAGTGCTAGAGGCCAAGTTAAAATGTAAGCCCAGCAAAAGCTTTAATCACAGGGGATGGAAGGAATACATGGGGCTGAGATAGATCAGTTCCACCCATATTTCCCAAACCCCTTCGACCCATCAGAAGTTGGCTCCTTGGGCAAAGCCCTACCTACATTCAAGGGTTCTGTGGAATTTGCCATGGTCAAATCTCTTTGAAAACTGAGATGATGTTTCAGTTGCTTTGGTTTCTCCAGAGTCACTTTTCACTGTGGGAAGAAACTGGACTTTAAGACTAGCCAGTAAGACAATGAGATCTGGTTTTTTCCCCTCATATTCATACTTTATTCCTCTCCTACCACATTCACAAGGGATAATAGTTTTAATCTATAAGTACATACACTTAAATATGTATGTGTTTGTGTAATGAACAAGCAAATAAGATTTCTTTCCTGGTACAAGCAGTGTACAATGAAATCGATGGAGTTTTATTACCAAAAGTAAACACAGATCCTGACATGTCTGCATGCAGTCAGCAGGGTGCTGGAGGCTTAAATTACATCTGTCATATTGCTAATGTAGATTCTTTAAATCATTTAACTTACTGTAGTGGTGTTTTGGGTATCAAACTGGTATCTGGAGGTGAAGACTGTACAACCTGCTCTGCACAGGGCAATCTGAACTAACCCAGGTGCGCTGAATGCAGCAAAAAAATTCTATATTCAGTTGATTTTTCTCTGTATTTTTTTGTTCTCTGCAATGTGTGCCCACTTGGATTGTCTGTGAGACCTCGCCAGCAAATTATTGTCGATTGTTGTAATTTACTGCCTTGCTCTTAATAAAGCCTGCAGGTAAATTACTGCTATTTGTGCTCTTTTCTGTTGCCTATATTTTCAGACTGGTTAAAAAGCACCCAAATGATGTAGTTACTAAAGTATTTTTAGTGGAAAAAATACTAGGAAATGCATTTAATTTGCATGATAGTTTCTTAGGAAGCTTATTTTTGTTTTATGAGCAATGGCATTGAGATGTAGAGTTTGTCATTATTAAAGCAGTGATGTCTTTATAAAATTCTCATAATTCCTACTGTCCAAAGGCCTTTTTTTTTTTTTTTACAAACCTTCAATATTTTACTTATGTCAGCCAGTGCCTCATTTCTATCCATTTAGGATCCTCTATAAAGCACTCCTTTTTGTTTTTTTCCTCTTTTCTGGTGCTGTGCTAAACACTGAAGTCTTGATTTAGTTAAAACTTCCCTTTTAATACACAGTGATTGTTGAGGAAATAATAATTTCACCAGAGAGGCACATATTTTTGAAATGTGGGCTTACTCTGGAGCCAAAGAGGATTCTTCTAAAGTGCCTTAGTGCCTTAGCCTGCAGATGATCAAATTTAATTTTGTAAATGAACTTTGCAGCGTGATTGAATTTGAACTTGATTACATTAGGCTTAACATTGAGTTTGTGCCTACTGGAGGTAGTCTTTTCATATTACTGCTATTTATGGATCTTATTCAAGTGTTTTATATTCTGGTTGGGTTCTGCAATGCAGTTTGTTCAAGCTACTGCTTATATCTGTTCCAGTTGTGCAAGAAGTGGAAAATATCCTTTATTTAGAACAGGTCACATGTTCTTGCATCCAGGAACCGCGTCTCAGTGTGATTAAAAAAAAAATAAAAATGTATCTTGGAGGAACAGATTTAAAAAGTTCCTGAAATATTTTTCCGTCTGTTAGAGAGGAACATTACGTATTTTAAACTGAAAGGTAATAATAGCTGAGCTTAAAGTGCTACGTAGGCTAGCACTGCCTGAAATCAGTGGTAAAAGTCTTAGCCAACGTCAGTGGGAGTAGAGCTAAGCCAAAAGTATGTCTCTGAAATCTCTCCGGTAACATTTTTGTGAGTGAGTCAATAATTCCATGTTTATTCTGCACCTCAAATTCACTTCACTGGGAAGGAAACCCTCGCTACATCGTTTTGTACTTTTTTATTTCTGAAAACAGTCTTAAAAGAAAAGGCTGCAATTGGAGTGTCTATTGTATAAACATGTGGAGACAATAAGTGGTATTTCCGTATGTTTCTTTACACAGGGAGCTGGTGCTGCTCCATGTCTGTAGCAGAGCATTT